TGTTAGGCTAAGCCCCACCCAGCCACCCTGCTCGAGCGGAGCGGGAAGCGGGGCTCTTGTCCGTCAGAGCTGCCGCGCGACGTGCGTGGTGGGTGGGTCGGGTGGGTGTTCGTACGATTTAGCAGCTGGACTCGACGGCCGGCAAGACGGCCGAGGCAGACTTCCCGACTCCCTCTTCTCCTTCGCGTCGAGATCCGAAGTTTGTTGGGTCTCGCGCCGGGGCCGGGTTCCAGGGCTGCCCGTTGCCCCTCGGGGCGCACAAAGTGCGGCTTTAGCTCTTGTCAGTTCGGTCGACTTCGGTTTGGGTTCGGCTCGGTTCGACTCTCCTCGGGCCGACTGTTCGACTGCACGCGCGCGGATCTGATAGGTGTAAGACGAGCGGCCCGTCAGGTCCGTCAGGCCCGTCAGGAGCACGGCGGCTCCGTGACGTCACGGCCCCTCGGCCTGAGGTGGCGTCAAGCGGTCGGGCGGGCGGGTACCGCGCGCAGCCCGGGCCGCGTGCCGCCGCTTGCGTCGCTGCGGGCGGAGAAATGCTTTGGCCGCTGTCGGGGGGGGGCAATCAATAAGTTTCGGCGGCGGCTTACATGGACCATCGCGAGGGGCGGAAAAAGACGATGGTTTACGCGCTCCACAGGGCCGCGATAAGGGAAGCCCATCACGCTGAAAAAGTGCACTTTTAAACAGACACGTCCGAAATTTGGAGAGTGTGCGAGGGGGAAGCTGTGCAGCCCTTACAGCTATTCACGCGCTCCGCTTTTCCCATTTTGCCAGAGGGTTCACTGTTAAAACACAGTCTTGGTGTAACGGGGAGAAAAAGTTTAGCGCGTTCATCGACAGACTGGGGGCGCTCATTCATCAGGGCTTCGGGGGTATATTGGGGAAGTTCGATTAGGCTGGCGTGCCGTAGGGGCCCGCCCCCCTCAAATAGAGCACGCCACGCCACGCCACGCCACTACGGGGGCCGTGGCCTCGCACCCACCGGGCCCACCGGGTGGCTGGCGCTGCTGGCGCTGCTGGCGAGGCTCGGCTGCCCTGCCCACCGACAGCGCCGCATTCCACGGGCCACGCGGCCGGCAGGGAAGACAATCGGTCCGGTTCGGAGCGCTGACGAGGAGGTGATCAACGAGAGCGCAAAGCAGACAATATGAATGAAAACGACGACGTGATTACCAATGAGTCGCTACAGGAGCTTGCTTCTGCCCCCTCTGCCTCTCACCCTCAGCACCGACCGACTCCCACCAGACTCTATAGTTAAAGCCGCTCGCGCTACCACACCGCGTGTCCTGCAGACGTGACGGTCACGCGTCGGTGTCGCGCGAATATGAGAGAGAAAAGACAGAGAGAGATACACCGAGTGAAATATGTCACGAGGCGCCACCGAGACCCGGAGCCATGCAGGGGAGGAGGGGGGGTCGGAAAAAATTGCCCCGCCGGCCCCGCCCAATCAGTGTGGCTCTAGTGGGAGTGGGGCGCCGGAGTAATCACTTTCCTCGTCCATCGTGCTCGCCCCTTACTCTACTTCTTTTTTGCGCCGATCTACTTCCGTCCAGCTCGCGGGTCCAGGCCGCCGCACCCCGCCTTGCTCGCGAGTCGTGTGGTGTTCTGTCCGCCCCGCCCCGCCCCGCCCCGCCCCGCCCCGTGACGGTGCCGCCACCATTATCGTCATTTCGCGAGCAGGGAGTTCCGCCGGGCCGCGCCGTGCCCGCGCGTCATCAAGGTGCAAAACAATAGGGGCCGACGTCCTCCTCTCTGTCTCTGTCCCGCTGCCCCCACCCCTTGCAGTGTTAGCGGCTCTGGCAGCGGCGGGGGGAGAGAGAGAGAGAGACAGAGAGGCGGTTGGGTCCCCTTTCCGGCTCCTTCCTTCCCGGAGAGGCGACGAAACAGGTCACGGGGCGCAGAGGGGTGACGGTGACGACTGTGACGAAGGAGGTGCGCCGCGGCGGCGCCACGTCCGGCCCTGGTCCGGCCGAGCCTGGCAGCAGGACAGGACGCCGCAGCCAAACAAACTACTGTTCATCCCATTATTTGTTCTGCTTGTTTCTTGGATCTTTTTTGGGGCGTCCGTCGGCTTCGTCGTCGTCGTCGCCTTCTTCGCGCGGACTTTTTCTTTCCGTAAATTAGGAGCCAGCGAGCAGCGAGGGAAGGTAAGAGGCGGAGACTGACGACGTCGCCGCAAAGGCACAACCTCAAGTAGAGTGGTCGTGCAGCCGCGCCGACGTGGACATGACCTAGACGGGGGCGGGGCGGGGCGCGGGGCAAGGTGGGGACGAGTGTGTGCAGGACTGCAGGCTGCGGGCCGGCCTGGACCACTCGTGACAGGCCGAGCCGGACGCTCAAATGGCTCAGCCGAGATTGTGCGAACGGAGCTTTGGAGAGCAGTGGGGGGGAGGCGCGACAAGGTGGAAGGTGGGGGGCGTGCAATAAAGGGACATGCTTCATGGCGCCCGGGCGCCCGGGCTCGAGCGCCCTCCTGGCCAGTGGCTCGCCGGCAGAAAGCGATGCAGCGATAGGTCGTGTCGTGTGGTACACAGCCGGAACCGTGTCGTGGACGCGTGACCTGAGATCGACGCCGGCGCGCCGTGCCCTGCACACCTCCCTGCACGCGTACGGGACAGGCTTCGCGGCCGGCGCCGGGACTGGCCGGCCCATATCGCGGCTGGAAGCAAGCGCCCGCGGGAGAGAAGCTGTCCGAGCCGCTTGGAGATTGGACGGAGGCGCGGACACGGCGGACACGCTCAGCGGCCGCGTATCAATGTGGGGCACACATATCGCAATCCTACATCCGATGCGGCCGAGCCGGAGAAAGGAAAGGGGAGAGGGGTGGACGACGGAACGCTGTCTAGTTTTCAATCGTTGATATCCATTCCGCTGACCGCTGTCGCTGATGTGGCTCGCGCCGCCCGGTGGGTCGACCCGAGCCAGTCCCTGCTGTCGTCGTGAGATAGCCACCGTCGAGTGACCAACGCGCTGCGGGTCAGGGAATGGGGTCAGACTAGACGGGTACGACGGCGGTGGTACGTTAGAGTGATTGGGCTGCTGAGCAGCCTGCTGAGCAGCCTGCTACACGGTGCTGACCGCGGCTGAGCGAAAGACAACGAGGCACTGGCGGCAGGTGGCGGGGCGGGGCGGACAGACTCGTTAGAACGCAGAGGAAAGGGCTCCCGATGGAGTGCGCGGCGGTGAAGGACAGAGATTTTATTGAATGGACCCGATTCGCATGCAGTAGTTTGGTCGTGGAGGGGGGGGGGGCGTTACTGAGGGCCCACGCGGTGGGGAGTCCGTGCTATCCTTGCATAACGTTGATCGCTATCTTTTGTCGAGTTTAGTTGTTGTTTGCACAGACTCCATTCGCTGCTCGGCTGTGGCTGGCAGGGTGGGGC